ATCTCTCACCTAAAGAGTCCTTGAAAGATAGCCTTGATGAAGATGTTGATCATACACAAGCCCAAATGCCTGTTGAAGTTGTTATTGAAACGTGTGATTTGGAGGAAACATTCTCCGATGACGCTTTCTTTGACTCTCTACTCAATGATGACAAACATAGTTATGTTAGGCAAGGATCTGTTTGCCTAGATGATATTTGTGGGGTTAGTGAGTTAGGAAGTTGGGATGCATTCTTAGAGAGTGAAACAAAGTCTAAACTTTGTGATTTTCATGTTGAGGGCATAAATAAAGAAGAGAAAACCCATCAAGAGGAGTATGAAATCTCTAGTCAGACTACTTTTACCTTGATGACTCCATTTGAGCGGTTGGAGAAACCGGAGGCACCTGATCCTGAAATACTTGTTGATTCTACTAATGAGAGTGATGCAGGATATGTGCTAATTTCTTGTTCGAACGACGTGTTCTTTGAAGATTATGTCACATTTCGGTGGTCACGAGAGTTCGAAGGTCTACGCCATCTGACGGCATACCTGGAAGATAAGGTGGAGGCACTAATGATGAGTGCTCCACGACTGACTTGCATTACAGAAAGTTCTCTCTCAAACGTCAAGCTAGTGACGTTAAAGAAGCGCTTTTTGGGAGGCAACCCATGTTTTTCATAACTTTGTTTGTTTGTTTTGTGTGATTGCAGGTGGTGCTTCAATAAATAAATTGTGAGTTGAACGCTTTGACCCGATTTAAAAAAAAACTGATCATGGATGATATTTTTAAAACAATTTTATTCCTGTTTTCATTATTCCTCTTCACAAAATCTTTTCAAAACTCAAGTGTGAGGAAAGAACCAAAAAAATATGCCTTTATGTCTAAACTTTGTGCATTAAAATGAGACCTCGAGGACGAGGTCCAAATCAAGTGTGAGGAGGTTGTGTTTTACACTCAAAAAGTTAAAACCTTGTTTTAGATCAATCTTTTTACTATTTTTGATATGAAACATTCACTTCTCAATTGTTATCAATCACATAATAGCTTAGAGGATCACCCTTATTATAAGAATTTACTTTTATTATTATTTTTAGAAAACTTGAAATTGTTATGGGTTTTTTGTTGCGAATGTAAAGTGCTAATTTTGTTTTAATTGAACATTCATTTTATTCATTAAAAAAAACAAAAAATACAATTATTAATAAATCTCTTCAAAACTCATTGTTATAGGACAATTCCATCTCCGAATAGGGGCTCTGTTTCATTCGTTAATCATAGTCTGTGAGAATGAAATATGCATCTACCATGGGATAACACCGCCAAAAAGAGTGGAAAAGAGGCAAAAAAAAACATAATTTGTGAATAAGATAAATGTCCAAATTAGAATAATGAAAACCTTGGTATAAGGAATTGGTTTAACATAATCAATAGTTTTTATAAAGTAATAATAATTTTAAGTTCTTGTATTTTTGGTGATTTTTCTAAAATGTTTAAAAATTGAGAATAAAAAAGGGAGATTTTTGTTTCTATTTCATTATTAGCAATTCGATTGTGATTCAGTCAGGTTTTACCTTTTTGAGTGTGTTCGCAACTAATTTGTCGCTTGAGGACAAGCAACGCTTAAGTGTGAGGAGATTGATAAGTCCATTTTTGTACTTATTTTTCTTATCAAATTTAAGTGATTTTGGATTGAAAAATAAAAAAACAAGGCATGTTTTATATATTTTGGTTCAAGTTTCGTGAAATCAGGTAAAAAATCACGTCCATGATATGTTTGACGAAATTTCGGGTCAATTAAGCATACAATGAGTCAATTTGAGTGAAAAATGATATCATACCGAAAGAAGGAATCAGAATTTCAAAGTGGTCCAGAAGGGAAAGTTGAAGAGCACAAAATACAGAACAAGACTGACAAAAAAATCTCACAGGCGCCCAAATAGGCGCCCAGATTGGCCGCCTTCCAGGCCGCCTACGCTATTTTTAGAAAGTCAGCATTTTTGGAATTTTGACCGGACCGGAGAAGACCGAAGGCTGCCGACACTAGACAGAAGGCGGCCGCCTTCGGTGACCGCCTGCGGCACAAGGCGACAAACCAACCACCGGCCGGTGGGATTTGACGGCAGGTGGCCAGACAGGAACGGCAGGCGGCCGCCTGCTGGACCGCCTGCGGCGGATGAAGAGACCGGCGCACGTTCAGCTGCCGGTGATGGGATGGAAGGCGGCCGAAGCAAGGTGGCAGGCGGCCGCCTGGTTGGCCGCCTACGGTATTTTTGCTGCTATAAATATCCCGATTTTTGCTGAACTCAAACACACCATTCTTAGCCCGAAAATAGTTCAAAAAGGTCTTCTTCTTCCTCTTCAAAGCTCGGATTTCCACCATTGTTGCACCTTCAACTTCAATCTTTCATATCTTCAAAAAGAAATTTTATATGTATTCATAATGATGTTTAAAATTGTTTAAGCATGTGATTAGCCAAGATGATTAGGCTTATGTTAACTAAAAGGGTATATTATGCATGTAATTAAATAAAAATGCATATAAAAACATACATGATGTTTTGAATGCCCAAAATGAAATTTATGGATTGTTTAAGACTTAATACATAATATGTATAAGTTTCGGAGAGATGGGAGTTCGTTCAGGGGGTCAACGAGGTGTCGACCCCAGGCAGCAGGAGGACCGACACCGACCAGAGGCCTGAACAGGCTCTGGTTAGGCCACTGTGTGGCCGATTCACATTAAACAACAGGTGAACCGGCGCCGGTCGGCCAATGAACCGGCGTCGGTTAGGCTACAGGTTCCGGTACCCGTTCTTTCCGAAATGCGTATCGGGGCCCAATTCAACATGGGTTTAATCGGGACCATCCTATATATGTATATTTTGCATGCAATTGCATGGAATATGACATTTCAATGCTTTGATATATGATGATTAAATGCTAAGGCTATGATTAGTCGTTAGTGATGATATGATACAGACCATCTCTAGTATGATATGTGGTAGATCATAGGTCGAGTGGAGTAGCCAGGGATCGTGCGTGTGTCCTCAAAACTCGGTTATGTCGGGTGGAGTACCCAGGGACCAGGCGTGTGTCCTCAAAACTTGGTTATGTAGGGTGGAGTACCCAAGGACCGAGCGATGTCCTCAAAACTCGGATATTAGGGGTGGAGTACCCAAGGTTCAGGCGGTGTCCTCAAAACCTAGATAATAGAGGTGAAATACTCAAGGCCGGGTGATGCCTAAAACTTGATATTACCGGGAGAGTGGCCCGGTGGCTGAGTAAGGCTATCAACACTCGATGAATGTAATGAACCCTAGGTTATAGCGGGAAAGCAAAACAATGGGTAAGGTATGGGGAAAGTCAAGGACTAAGTCCACCATCATTTTATTGATTTGATCAAATGACCTACGGGTCGGATATTTTCCAAGCGTATATACTTGTATGTATTTCAAAGACTTGGGGAAGTTATAAACGTATGTATCACCCTATGTTTGGATGTTATACTTGAAACGTTAGTTATTCTACATTTAGTCTGCTGCTCGCTTGGTATTCGCGTACTGCCCTTCGAGGGCTCCCACCATTTCAGGTTGAAGCTAGAACTTGCTACCTGCACCTTTCTGACGGGTGAAGTCACATTCAGGAAGACATGGTTCGTGCTTCCTTGTTATCTTTAAAACTACAAACACTTGTTCATGGATATTTTGTAATGACTACTTTGTTTAGGGCCTATGAGGCCACATTTGCCTTATGATTGACTATTGAATATTTCCGTTATTCACTCAATCTAAATTGTGATATTGTTATGTATGCTTACTTACTGAGTATGGTATGGACAATGTTCATGGATGCCTTGTACAATTGAGTGAGTGTGATTCACGGGTGACGTCACTTGATTGTATGGCAGTTGTACACGCGCTTAGATGCAGTCTGGGGCGTGACATCAAGTGCCCAAAGTCTTAGTGATGCACAGGTTACAAGGACCCCAAGGATCAAGAATAGGCAGAGGCATGCAACAGGTCAATAACACAAATAAGTACACAGAGACCCACAAGGTTAGGGAGATCTAAGCATGCAACACTCGAAGCCACACAAACAGAGCCATAGAGAGAAAAAGATCAATACACGCACCTGAGGGGAAGTCAGACTAAGCTGGCAACTAGACTGCATGATCTAGCAACACAAAAAATAGCCGGGAAGGGGGGTAAAAAACGAAAACACGGAGAACAACACAGTAGAATCAGAGGCACTCGCCAACCTAGAGTGTTTATCACCAATTTACCTGAGCGGGATCCCAGAGGGTATCTCGAATTACCTAACCGGCGAGGATCTGTAGCGTCACGGTGGAGATCTGCAGTGTCACGACGGCGGAGCTCCAGGCGACAGAAGAGGTGTCTACACGAAGATTCGGCTCTGATACTACTGTTGGGTGTTCACTTCTCCGACTCACACCACACTCAATGATCACCCAAAAGCACCACCCAAGCTCTCCAAAAGGGGTAACACACTCAACTAGCCCTAACCATCTCAACGTCACCGGACGTAGAAGAAACAGAGTAGTAGAAGAGTGCGCATAAAGGAACGATGAGGAGCAGCAGTTCAGAGAACCTTAGCTCTCTCTCTCTCTCTCTTCTCTCACTCTGTCTCTCTCTAGGTCAAAAAACACAGAAGGGTCTCACCGAAGGAGACAAAGGCTATGCCTTATATACTGGGATTTAAATGAAAACCTTAGTCGATGGTTACAGAAACGGGCAAAGGGGCAGAGGTGCTGGCCGACAAAAGCAAAGGGGCCAAACTAAGTTGGGTCGAACACAAGTTGGAGATGGGCTGCCTTAATCCATAGGACAATACCTCCACATGTAAGAAAGTAGAGTAAAAGAACCTTGGGAAGCTTCAAAAAAGCTTTGAGAAAAACAAAATAAAACATTTATTGAAAAAGACTAAACTTGAGTTGGGCCAGACCGACCCGGCGGAACAAGGTGTCCATGCCAATTGACAATTCCACCCAATCAACATGTGTTCTAGATTCTTCGGGTGTGGATGATTACCAACCAAACCAAAGCAGCAAAAACCCTTGTGTGCCCTAACAAAACAATTTCAGACGTATTTTGTTTTCATGGGGGAAGTGAATTTTCAGAAGATTTGAGGACTTCCCTCCCACACTCTAAATTTCTTCACTTTCCCGCCGCGGCTCACCATTACTGTCATTTCGCTCCCAACAAATTCAAACCCGTCTCGACCCTTCGACCTCTGCATCTAGACATACATTCATGTGTGTACATGCCCGGGCTGCCAGACGACGGGTTTGCTAATAAACACGGTTGCATCTTTGCATCGTGAATAAATCATCTAGATCTCCTTCCAAATCTAGTCGGTTTGGTGAACTTGGTTTCTAGGGTTTGATCTACGTTTGCGCAGCTCTCGTCTCTGTCGGTATGTTCTCTATCCTAGAACATTACATTTTGATTGGTTGCACATCATACCTAGGTTTCAGCCTTTTCTTTCTGGAAGAAATTTAAAACTTCTCTGCCGAGTTTGACTTTTTACTAACCACAAGTGCGCGAATGTGTCCAAGAAGCGTACTTGTATTATTTATGCTTTTTACCTTTCCTTTTTGGCCATTTATCTTTCCACTAGTTTGTGTACATGCACGAATACAGGTTGCAGAAGCATGTATTGGGCTCCAATGCATGTATGATATTGTATTTAACTGTTCTCTTACTTCTCCTAATTGACACTGCAGTTACTGCCGAAATTGGCAACTTTTCGCTTTATCTTTTAGTGTGAACTCTAGAGATGGAATCAGTTGCTATCACTCTATAACCCCATGTTGTGAACACGCATGTCTCACCTACCTCACTTGTTTAGTAAGATAGAGATTTGGAGGGTGGGTTGTTCCCCATCTAAAAATCATTTGTGTAAAAATCTATAGTTGTGGAGAATTTAACAATCTGATAACCAATTACTATGTCATAATGTGAGATGTGAATCACAATGCACAATCCTTTGTATATATGATAGTCTTATGAATGTACATTATGGAATACTAATTTGGGTGTGAAAAATCATTTGAAGTGGGAAAAGCTCTAATTTGCATCTCCCATAACATTGAGATATTATTGTTTTAAAGAAACTGGATTTTGTTGTTTATTTTGGTAGGAAAACATATACTTGGGCATGAAGAAAATGGCTGATTCATTCGGGAAGTTGGGCATTTGAGTGGTTAGTGTATTTATTAGTATTTTTAATGGAGTGCAACAAGGATGAAGCAATCAAGGCCAAGGAGCTTGCGGAGAGTAAAATGCAAAACAATGAATTTGAAGGGGCCCATAAAATTGCAATGAAAGCCCAGCGCCTTTATCCAGAACTAGATAACATTAACCAGTTGCTGGCCGTCTGTAGTGTTCATTGCTCAGCCAGAACCAATATGTTAGGATTGGACAAGGACTGGTATGGAATTCTCCAAGTTGATAGATTGGCAGATGAAGTGACCATCAAGAAGCAGTACCGAAAGCTTGCACTTGTCCTTCACCCTGACAAGAACAAATTCCCTGGTGCAGAAGCTGCTTTTAAGCTTATTGGAGAGGCAAATCTTGTGCTCTCAGACAAGACAAAGAGATCTATTTATGACAATAAACATAAATCATCAGTCAGAGGAGGTCCTTCTGTAAAACCGCGGCCACCTTATCCAGTCAACCCCCCTGCCCCCAGGTCAAATTTTGAGTCTAACGGTCTCAATAATCAGTTCACCGCCCCAAACCATCACCAAAAGGCACAAACAACTTCATCTGTTGATGAAATCTCATTTTGGACTAGCTGTCCTTTCTGTAGTGTGAGATATCAGTATAGACGAGAGATAGTGTGTAGAGCTGTTCGCTGCCAGAACTGTGCAAAACCATTCATTGCATATGATATTGGGTCTCATAGCATTTCAACTGGTTTTGGTGCACGTCAACCTAGTCAGCAGACTTACAAGCAAAAAGTGGTTCAAAATCAAGGATCTGCAAAACCGACTGCAAATCCATCCGCAGTTCCTCAGTATCCCCACCAACAAGCAGGGACACAGAGAGGGAATGCTTCTCAGGTGTTTAAGGATTTGAGGAGTAAAGAGAAACTTAAGGTCAATGAAAGTCCACAAGACTCAAGAGTTAAGAGCAAGAAAAGGGGCAGGAAACATTGTGCATCTGAATCAAGTGAGAGTTGTTATTCAACAAGTAATGATGAGTCAGAAGATTTTGACATTGAAGAAAAGGAGAGAAGTCCTTCTGGTGTGCAGAGAGTTGGTGTTAAGCATGACAATGTGAGGAGATCATTTCGGAGAAGGCAGGATGTTTCATACAATGAAACTGAGGATGATGATTTCCATTCGAAGCATTCAAAATCTGTTCCATACACAGAAGATGTAGCGCCTCCTGAAAGCCTGCACAAAGGAAATACTGATGCAGATGATGCCACTGGCTCAACCTCAAATGGTTCCAAAAAGGTTGAAGTTATTATCGATTGCGAATCAGATTCAGATCTCAATAATGTTGATGATTCGGTTCAGACATATACATACCCTGATCCAGAATTCCATGATTTTGACAAGGACAAGGAAGAGAGTTGCTTCGCAGCTGACCAACTGTGGGCTTGTTATGACACAGCTGATGGAATGCCGAGATTCTATGCTCACATAAAAAAGATATATTCCCCTGAATTCGCCATACAGTTCAATTGGCTTGAGATACATCCTCATGACAAGCTTGTTAATGATTGGGCTGATGCTGAATTACCAGTTGCATGCGGCAAGTTCAAGCGTTGTAGAAAATCTGAAATAGTTTACGATCGTGTATCTTTCTCCCATAGAGTGCAGTGGGCAAAGGATAGGAAGGGTGCATACATCATATACCCTAGGAAAGGGGAGATTTGGGCCCTTTTCAGAGGGTGGGATATCGGCTGGAGCTCCCAGCCTGAAAAACATCAGCACTTCAATTATGAAGTCGTGGAGGTTCTTTCTGATTATGTTGATGATGTGGGGATTAGAGTTGGATACTTGAATAAGCTGGATGGATATGTCTCTCTCTTTCAGGGTGGGACTGATTTGTCTGGTTCATCTTTCTTCATAAAGCAGAATGAGATTTACAGATTCTCCCACAGAATTCCCTCTTTCAGATTGTCTGGAACTGAGAGAGAAGGTGTGCCAGCTGGGGCTTTTGAACTTGACCTTGCTTCTTTACCTGAAAATCCTGATGACCTTTGGTATCCTCTCAAAGGCATGGTGAGCAGAAGCAGTAAACCGAGGACTCCTAGCAAGGTTGGCACATGTAGCTCCTCCATTGACCCCAAAGAAGTTAATGTTGTTGAGGACTTTGAGATGGCAAAGGCCGGAAAATCACCAAGGCCCATAAATGTTACCGAGAAGAAATGAAAAGCAATCCATTTATCTATTGTAGCCAAGGTGATCTGTGTGACATCAGTTCAGAATTCTAACTCCTTAGAAATGGCGGTGGTGGTGGTAAGAGTTTGAAACTTAACTCATCGTGATCATGCAAAATATGCTTGTTAGACCGAATGTTATCTTATGTTGGGGTTGATGTGAAGTAAACTGTTTAACTGGTTGGATTCTAGCTAGCTAGCTACTTGCTAGATAGTAGATGTATTATGTGTATGTCTTTTGCTTTTAGGACATGTGCTTTTGTTTCCAGGGCTTCGTTATGGCTATCCTTGTAATGTCACTATGGGAAATTTGATTTTTAACCCTCTTGCAGGATATTTTTCATAGCATGTTTTTTTTGAAATTATTTTTCCTAGCATGTTATTCCCCATTCTGAATTACCAACTTTACTCTTTCAAATAAGGATGAGTTTAGGTTTTTGGGTTCGATCTTGACCAAAAACCAAATACTGAATTAAAGTGAAAAGTTGATTTTACATTTCTAAACCTCAAACCATGGCTTAATTGGTTCACTTTGTTTCAGTTTTGATTTTTTGGTTTTTATTATAAAATTATCATTTGATTTAGAATGATTTGATAGTTGGGGGATTAAATACATTACATAAAAATTGCAAGCATACTAGAACAAAAAAGAAAAAGAAATAAATGTCTTGATTTGTATGAGTATGTAGGAGAGAATACAATTTTCTAATTATTTGAAACAAAATTGTATATATTTTTAATTTACTTATTTTGTAATTGGTTTGAAAAAAGTTTATTTTAACCTACATAGTTAAAGGTAGCATGTCCTCCATAGATGCCATCATGCCATTTTATTCCAAACTATCCTCAAATTCACAAATCTATCTTACACTTTCATTTTTATCAAAAAAAGACTCAAACTTCATGTTTTTCAACAATTATGCTTTTCTTTTTTGCTTTTTCAAAATTACACATTTTTATCAATACTAATAAGATATAGGCAATACAATTTTGTAAACTTAAAACTAGAAAGAAGTGAAATTGTGAGAAAAGTTGAAGTTTAAGTTTTTTTTAATAAAAGAGAAAGTATGAGATAGATTTGTGAATTTCATGATAATTGGGAATATATTTAGCTAATAATCCCTCACAATAACCCCTGTCCAATGGTTGTGGTGTTAATTCTAAGAGTAGCAATATTAACCTTTATGAAGATATAAGGGGCCTAAGGCCCTAAACCATTTGAAAACAGAGTTTTTTTTGGCTTTCTTAACGAAGATAGTATGGAGGTAAAAGTTGTGGGGAGAGGGGAAGTGATGATAAACGGTCTAATGGTCTATCAACTGAAGTGAGGTAGAGGCCATAGAGCTAAGGGTGGGCGTGGTCTGGATTGGTTTGGACTTTGGATAATTGATAAATTTTTAAGAACTGTTGGTTCCATTTAACAGGTAGGTTCGGTCCGAGTATACCAAGTTTTGAAATAGGAACCAGACCTAACTCGTCTCGTTTGAAACAGGCCAGTTCGGTCCGAGTTCTTGATTCTTTTTGATAAAAAAAATACGGCTATGCTAGCAAACTATCTAGTAAGCTATAAAATTTTCAAACTAAAATTCAAACTATTTAGTATCAATTTCACCAAAATATAATAAAAATTCAAATTAAAAACTTAAAACAACATTTTAAATTAGGATGTTTTTACTTGGACTGTAATTTGATGGTCTGGTCTGATCTGGTCTGAACTGGTCTGATCTAGTCTGGTTTCTTTGTATTTTTATAACTATCCAAGTCTGATCTGGTTTGGGAGGAATTACAGTCCAAGTAAAAACATCCTTAGTCAACAAAACATCTAAGCACAAATCTTTAAATTAAAAAACTCACAACCACATAAATTAAATAACACCAAATTCTAAAAAGTATAAATTCAGAAAAAAGATAGCACTATAAAGTTTTAAGAAATAAACTAGTTACTATACCTTTTCGTCTATGAAAACAATTTAAAAGCTTATTATATCTCAAAATATTAGCAAAATTAAGATAATTAAATGAATATGTCATACTCCCTCCGCCCCATTTAAAAGTTCTCACTTTCCTTTTTTGGACGTCCCACTTAAAGGTTCTCACTTTCTTTTTTAGAAAACAATTAACATTTTTAAATGACAATTTAATCATCAAATATTAAAAAAATTATAAAATCACAGTTATCATCAATAACCCATTATATTATATACTCATCAAAATTATTTCTCAAAATATACTCGAATTAGCATATTTAATTATTGTCTTGATAATCGTACCATTTTGTCACAGGTCCCTTTAAATGAGACGGAGGGAGTACTTCATCGAGTAAGAGTCTTTGTATACAAAAAAATATTAAAAAAAGAAAACTTGATGCATTTAGAATAGAGAATTAGGTGAAATAACTTAGGAGTTTATATGGACTTTGAGACTCTTTTTAATAGAATCACAAGTTTGTTTAATTGAGAGTCTTTGTCTAGAGACATAAACATGATTTATTAAAATAATATTATAAAACGGTTCGGTTCGGGTACCCGTTTTTTCAAATTTCAAGACCCGTTTGGTTCCTAATTTTTGAAAGACCCGCCCCACCCTGAATCGTTAGAGTTTTCCAAAATTAGGACCCGACCCTAACCCGGCCCGAACCTGTATTACCCGGGCCGACTCACGATTCGGGTACCCGTTTGCTCATCCTAGGTAAAGCTCTTTTTCAATAAGAGTGATAGCCTCAGCGCTCCCGTCTTTGCACTCGTCACAGATAAAAAATGTTCCTAATTTTCCAAAGTTACCAAACTACTGTATAAAATTTGGAGCAAGACAGTTTAGCTTCTTAAAATTTCATGGACCCATACCAGCGGGTCAAATATTCTTGGATAGTACAATTACGATTGTTAGGAAAGTGGATGACTTGTTCAAAGTGCCTCCAAACAGAAACTGCTGCTGCACAATGAAGGAAGTAGTGATCTAAAGTGTCATTCTTGTTGTAAAAAATGCATTTGAAAGGCTCAAAAATCCCTATGAAGTTCAGTTTGGTTTCAAAAGGTAATAAATTGTTGTGAAGTTTCCAAATGGAAAAGGAAACACGCAACACATATAGCAATTGAAAAACGTAACAACAAGCTCTCCCTCACTTCACACAACTCTCAAGATATCCAAAACATAATATAAACCACTCCCCGATACAAAGAGCATCTCTTACATCTTTTTGAATGATACTAGTTAAAATAAGCACATTAGCACATAAGGCAAATTATGGAATGTTGGGGTTGTGTTTCGATCATGTTAATGAGAAACTAAGTATATGAAACACTCTTGTTTGTCCATATCTTGATCAGAATACTCTCTTTATCTTGATGTTATTTGTACTTGTTTGGTCCCATTGGACCTTGTATTATGACCTTCATATCTGGAGCAGTAGTCTACTGGTTTTGAGCAGCACTCTTCTAAATTTTCACTTCTTGAAAGCTGATACCATTCTGAATCAGGGGCGTTACCGCCACACTCGGTTTTCTCTTAACCGAGTGCACAGGCTAATACAACTTAAACTCCAAAATCAAATTAAACTTCTAAACAATTGTTATCTAAAAGATCTTGAAAATAAAACTACAAGGATTTACTAAAGTTGTGTTCTAGCGGAAGCTCTCTCGAAATCAACCTCAACATAATCAACTCAGCACCTATACAAAATACAGTACAGAAAGAAAACACAAAGAAACAAAATTAGACGGAAATGCTAAGTTGTCCCACCCAACCCCGTAAAATAATCAAGTTTGATACACATATATACTTCCTCCGTTCTTAAATAAATGCAACGGTCAACATTTCACACTTGCCGAGACACAACTTTGACCATTAATATAAATGATTTTGTATTAGTAAAAAATTAAAAAAATTAGATTATGAAAATTTACAATGAGACAAGTTTAACAATATTTTTTCATAAAATAATATTATTACATTAATAAATAAAACGTAGTCAAAGTAGAACATGTGAATAGTGTAAAAGTCAAAGTGTTGCATTTATTTAAGAACGGAGGTAGTATATAATTTTTGCAAAACTTTTGGAGGAAAACATTTTAAAACATTTTATACCATTCATAAGTAAAATAGTATTTTTAAAACATTTAATCACACAATTCACAAGTAAGATAATAATAATTGAAATATAGGCACTGATGGACGGCGTACCTGGGGGGTAGCTTATCCGAAGGGTTATTTCAGGGAATAACCTAGAGAGAGGTTAGAGCAAGTAAGAGAGAGAGTCAAATCTATTAAATGAACTCAGCGTGCTTTACAAGGTGAATAGGGGCTGCTATTTATAGCAGCCATAAATGTGATGACAGTACACATGTCAATAATCTAACGGTCGAGGGATCACCTCAATCGGGGTGGCACCGGCATATGCATGTGCACCACATTTAATGCGGTGGGTGGATGTGACGCCGCATTAAATGCGGTGGTCGTCTGTCCCCTAAGGGAATCTTCGATGATTACTCTGTTTAGCCGAAGGCTCGATGTAGCCGAAGGCTACCCTCATGCCGAGGGCGCATATGAGCCGAAGGCTCCTAATTTCTGCCGTTTTCTCCCAGTAGCTTCGTGTGCTCAAATGAAGTTGTTCTGTGGAATTTGGAGCCCTCGGCCAAGGAGGCCGAAGGCACTTACATGTGTATTTGTGGGCTTCTTGATACTTGGGCCGCTATGTCTGGGCTTTGTGTGCTCATTGGGCTTGATGGGCCCGAGCAGGAGAAGTATGAGTCTGTGGGCCGGGTGTCCTTGGGCCATATACCGCATCAGGAGTCCCCCACTCCTTTTGCCGAAAGGTACTTGAGGGAAAATGAGTAGTTGTGGTGATTGCCCCGAAGGCTTCCCTGTTTTGTTGGGTGCCTCAGATTCTTTGCTTTCTGATGTTTGCTGAGGGCATTCCCTCAGTCCCCCATATGTCGAGGGCTGAGGGCTCCCTGAAGGGAGTGCAAGTGTGTTGTTTGCATGTGTTGTGGCGAAGGCTGCTTTATCATCCTTGGTGCTTCTGTAATATTTTGACAATTTGTGTTTCCCGAAGGGTGTATCGACCATTCATACCTAAGGGGTTGTGTTTATTATTTTGCCCGGAGGCTACATGTGTTATTTGTCAATGTCATTTTTGTTCATAGTTCTCCGAGGGGTTCTTCTAGTCCCCCACTCCTTGAGGCACATGCAATGGGGTGAGAAGGAGTAGAGTAATGCCTGTCTTCAGTAGAGAGCCGAGGGGTGACGCATTTTGCTTCATTTTGGGGAGATGCCTCGTTAAAAACCGCATTAGGAAAAACCCTATGGGAAAAAATCCTAATGAGGGAAAAAGAGTGCATCGGATGCCCCCATAATGAAGTAAAAAGGTAAAATCTTTGGTCTGAGATGAAGGATAATGC